TGTACCCTCGTCAATGTAACAAAGTCAGGGGTAGCCTAAATGAGTTGCCCTGACATTCGAATCAAAGTTTAATAAAATGTGCCAGACCCCTAAGTGGTCACCTTAACATTATAAAAAAAAAAAAAAAATAGTGCGTATTGTATCTACCCCTCTGGAACTTATCTTAAATCTAACTGGAGATAATACTGATTATGTGATTGCTGAAGTTTTAAAACACAATACTGCACCATAAATTACTACGCTTTTGTGATATTGGGGTGTGCGAAAAACTATGTAAATCAAAACTATATGTAGTCCCTTAGAAATTTTAATTAGAACTGATTTTTTTAGTGATCAACGATATAATACAATTTAAATATAAAACTATATAAAACTGTGGTCCACCTTTTTAGATGTGCAGGTTATATTTTTTTTTTTATTCAAAAAATTTTCATATCAATTTGTTCATTGTTATCATATTTACAAATTTATGAAGCTTGTTTTTACATTATCTACAGGAATTTCATTTTTTTTTGATCTTTTTTATAAACAATCTTTACTTCGTTTGCTTAAAAATTCTTTAGGTAACTGATTTTTTTTTTTAATAGAAAGATTAATTTGGCTTTATAACTTTATTCTTTGAGACTTAACCTTGATTTGTGCAAAATTTGGATTTAGAATAACCAGTTTCAAGGACTAAACATCTATTTAAATATTTTATACTATTCAATAGGTATTTATAGATCAAATAAACATTGATTCCAATTAAAAAATGCCAATAGAATACGTTTTGAAAAATACCAAAGAAATAAATTATTAAAAGAACAATCTGCATATACTAATAAATTATCCACCAATAAAGTACTCACCAATGAAATATCTAACAACGGAGTATGCACTGCTAATGAAGAGATATTAATTGATGAAACAATAATTACACATAAAGAACATTTACAGCGAACTCATTTAACTTCAATTATACAAGAATTATCTAAAAAGGATCTATTACTAATGATCAATCTTGTCTCAACCATGCGATATCCAAAAGGCCAAAGTACAGGAAATATAATTTCACCATATTTACAACAAAAAATGTATGATTATCTTACACAAAATCTTTTTAAGCGTCATGCAAGTTATCAATCTTTACAAAACTCAAATATAATGTTAGAGAAAAAAAATAAAAAACTTTATCAGCAGAATAAGGCTCTTATTAGACAAACTCAATCTTTTGGTGCCAAAACTCAGCATCTTCAGAATCAAAAATCACAGCATATTTCAGAAATCTGTTCTTTAGTTTCAAAAAAAAGCACTGACAAAGAATTTCGTGAAAAAGTTAAATCGATTTTTATGTCAAATAAAAAATCTCATTTTTCAAATACAATTTGGCTCACAATGAATATTCTACAAGTTGGCCAGATATTATTACATTCTACTATTGAATGTATGCGATTAATTTATGAGTTTCTAACTGGAGAACCCACTCAAAAAATGTTATCAATATCCACTCTACGTATATGGCATCAAGACATTTCAGAGTTAAATTTTAATAGACAAATTCTTCAAGTGATGAATACACCTGTATTTGGTGTAATAATAGATAAGTCGACGTGGAGACAAACTAAAAACTTAATACTCTGTTATCAATTCTGGAGTAATAAAAATCAATTGCTTATTGTGATGGTCACTTAGTTACAAAATATTACAAAATGTAATGCTGAAGTTGTGGCAAATACAGTAATTACACATATTCAAAAAAGTGAATTAGACATTAAAAAATGTAGGTTATGGGTAATGGGCAATACCTCATATATGTCAGGTAAAAGAAAAGGAGCTGTAGCTTTTTTTAATGACAAAACAAATAGAAACACATTACGAATTGGTTGTGGCCTCCATATAATTCAAATTATAATGACCCATTTTGAACAGGAGGCTTTTGAAGTACTCTCAAATACTACAGAATTTTCAAAGAAGCCACATATTTATAATTTACTTTATATTGCATAGAAATTATATGACAGCTACAATTCAAGCGACAAAGACAAGCCACTTAATATTAATTCACAAATAATCAAGAATTTGTATGATGGATTGCTGAGATATCACTATAATCAATATCAATTGCCACTTTGATCACAATGGAGTTATAAGTTATGAATAGCAAAGCAATATTTGGATCGATGTTCAGCCCATATTAAATTTACTTGTTGGTTTATTAATGAGATGAAAAAAAAAAACCCCTCCACCAAAGTCATATCTAAACAAGTGGCACCTTTTTCAGTCATGGCTTCTTAATCCTAAGTTAACTTTCAAATTAAATGTTTAGTAAATTTTGTTGAACATTTCTATAAACCATTGATGCATTTTTTAATTGTGCAAGATAAAATTCCTAGGATTTATCAAAATAATCAACTGAGCATTTTCCTTCTGATCGGCACATACACGAGTTGTCTGATAAAATTTACGAATAGAATAAGTTTCTTCAAGATCTCACTAAAAATTTCAAAATATTCTTTTCTGATGAGTTATTAAAAGCATTAGACAATTTTACTAGTGAAGAATTTGGAATGTCTTTTGATAATTTAGAAAAAGAAATTGTCAAAGCTTTGAAGTACTTTGAAAAGTAGTTTCTACAATGGCTTCATCTATCTTTGGCCATTTGTCATCTTGGAGGTAACAATACTAAATTATTTGCATCTAATTTTTACTATGTGGTTTTAGAAAAACCTTGGATTAAGCCGCCAAATAATTTAGAGTTGCAATTTGCAAAAGAATTAAAAAATGATTTAAAAAATGGAATAACTGATATCTTCAGTCTCTGTGAATTGCTATTGCAAAATAGCAATTTTTTCAAAGAATTTGAACAATTCTGTGCAAATGATTTACCTGTATATAAATTTTCCGAATTGTATAATTTTATTAAAACTAGAATCTATTTTATTGTTGTTCATCAGCAGCAAGTGGAGGGTCTTTTCAACAAGTTAGACCTAAAAACTCATGCTAATATGTCACTATCAGTCAAGCAGTCGAAACTTCAATTGTGCTCAGGCAAAATTGGGAAAGAAAATTTATTAAAGGAGTTGAAATCATTAAAGGTGAATCAAAAAAATACCCCACTTCAAGAAACAAAAATGTCACAATTTGGGTCCAATATTGCTTCAAATCTTTTTAATAATTTACTATAGTTAAATAATTGTATATAATTAATTAATAAATATAATATATACAATAATTAGATACCATATTTGTATAATAATACATTGTACCAATTAACTTTGTTATACAAAAAAATCAAAAAATCTTTACTATTAAATTTTTATATGATACCATATATAGTTTTAATTTATATAGTTTACCAAACACCCTATTGTGACATGGTGTCCAGGCTTGGCAGTTAGAAAAATAGTACATATATACGTATTTTTTTATATTTGCATTTCAAACATATAATAATAAAAAAGTATCAAATTGTTTTCTTACCTCAAACATGTTGTATAAAATTTTTGTTTTATATGGTGCGGGGTTTTAGCCTTACGAAGTTTGTTTGTAAACAGACCACAAACACAAATTCCACGCATTACAGGTTTGTATAATAAAAAAATTAGCCCGTATATATTATTTTTTCTGTTAATATTAATAATAAAAGATCAGAATAACATATTAACAAATAAAAAAAAGTCAAAATTACTTTGAAAAGTGGCATATCTTTAGAGGTTAGAAGCACAGATATAAGGTTTGTGACAAATGCAATTACCATTCACATCTATATTGTAAAACATGCAACAAAGTAGCTGATAGAATATATAGACGATATAAATGTAACAACTTTCTAAAGGAAGAAATAAAACTTCAGTTTGACTAATCTGACTTCAAATAATTATTGTTATGGATTGTAATAAAATTTGATGTTTTTATTTAAAACTCACTTATACTTATTTACTATAAATTTTACCTCTAAAGCTAACCCTTACCCTTAAAAAAATACACCCCAAAATCTCTATTTTTCAGTGGCTTGTCTATTTTACACTATGATAATTTTATTCACGTATTAAAGATATTCATTCGAATAAACTTTGCATGTAAAACCTAACAGAAACATTGGTATAGGTCACGTGCTTGCAGAAATTTATAAAAAATAAAGTTGTAATTATTAAATTTGTAGACACTAGCATTCGTTTTATTATTGTGAAGTAATGTGTCAAATCCTTTGATTCACAGAAAAATAGCATGAAAGCCACGTAAAAATTTCTCAAAAGGAAGCCATCTTTATTAATAATTGTTACAAAAAATTTTCTTATTCAAAAATCTGAAAAGAAAGTTTAATATAAATCTATTCTATCATATATTATTTTGCCTGCTTTAGTCTCTGTGTGCACGTTTTGAGTTATTTTTTAACATAACATCTTGATTTTCTAGTATACGAACAATATAAGAAACTACATTTTTTTTACTCTGCATCTCCCCTTCAAAATTACAATTAAATTGGCAAGAGATTTCAACTTTGGGTTTTTCTGGAGAACCAGTCCAGTGAATGAAATACCAAGAAACTCCAGTTATTACAATTCCAAACAATTGTTGTTGCAATGATTCAAATTCCATCTGTTCTAACTTACGCTTGCCTAATAAACTCTGATAATATGCATCGATAGTTAGGTCTACTCTAAGCACAACAAATAAATACAAAAATGGTGGAATTACCTCTGATGCACTGTGCAATTGCATAATGTTTTGGGCTATTCCCTTAGTTAAATCTTCAAATTTGGCCTCATTGACTAACACCGCAAAATCGTCGAGTTTCACTAAATAGTCTACAGGACCATATCTTTTAGATCCATAAAGATTAGCTTCTACATATAATTGTGCTAAATTGTTTGTAAACGTTTGAATGTAATCAACTGCGGTCTTTATGAAAATAGATATATATTTCCGAACAGTTGCTTCATTAATATTGATAGTATTTTTGAATACTTTCATTGTTTTTTTGATCTCTTTAACAAAGAATTTCATCTCCTCTATAGTAATTAAATAGTAATTTGGGAGTTCATCTAAATTAAATGCTTGGCCAAGTGATCCATTATAATTTCGATGCAAAACAATTGTGAATACATCTCTGATGTCTTATTTATTATAAGGTTTTTATCTATTAATTGACTTTGAATTAAGATTTTTACAAGCAAATCCAATATTATCGACAATCAAAGATGCAGTCTTATAATTGGAAAAAATTTTAAGTTTGTTTACTTTAGAGTTAGGAGATTTTAGTAAGGTATTATATACATGCAAAATTTAGCAAGGAATTTTTTTTGTTAGAGCATAAAAGGTAGTTTCTTATGCAAATTTTCGAGAAATAGGCAATTTTTTTAAAATGAACGTTTGTTTTGAATTTTTCTAATTGTATTACATTATGCAAAATTGTGACTTATTATTGGCTGATCGTGTCAGAAGATTATGTGACTATACCCTCGATTGTCGGTAATGCTGAAACTTTTTATTTACACCATTCTTTATACCAGGTCAAGATATAAAAACATACCTTTAATTTGGACTTTAAGGTTGGGAAGAACACGTATTCTCTTTTTTTCTTCGGTCTGATCTACAAGCTCATTAAACTGAAATTCATTCTTAATATTAAGATTTTCTTCATGATTACCTTCAGAGATTTCAAAATAGAGGTCATCCACTTTTGCTTTTTCGAATATTGATAATTTATTAAAATTTATTATAACATCTTTTCATAGTAAATCTCAAGATCCGCTAGAGTGTGACAGTTGATATTTCACTTTGCTGTTTTCTGATTTTATAAGTTACTATGACTACAGAGAAGATAAATGAGTATTAGACATTATAGAAAAATGAAAATGTATTATACTTACTACTCGACATAGACAGCGAGTATCGAACGATAAGTGGGCATGAATTAGTTGTAACAAGGTCCGCTAGCAACACACTACCTAAATGAGTTTGTGTTCAATCCTTATTGGAGAAAAATTCAATATTCTCCGGTTCTACATCCTTAAGTGCCTTAAATTTTTGTTTAAGAATTTTGCTTAAAGTTATTTAAGTCAGGACATTGTGATATAAAATCGCTTGGCTTAATATTAATTTTAACGAAATTTGGTGTGCCCTCTAAAAGAACCCACATTGATTTGGGGATGGATTATCAACTTTAGACATACTTATAGATATAATTATTAAACCAATCAACGTGAATTTGAAAAAAAAATAATGATAAATTAAAAACCAAAATTTGCTTAGTTTGAGTGTAGAAAAATTTTTCTGATAAATCAAAATTTTTATAAAATCTACACATGAGATTTTTACGGGGCAATCTCAAAATTCTGGGTCATAATGCATCAGAGCTAAACTGGCAAAATTATCAGCTGGGAATTTTTACTTAATTAATAGTCTATGATTTTATAAAATTTTTAGTGATCTTGAGAAAACTTGATCAATTCTGACACAGAGTGAGGACCTATACTTCTATGTTGCTTTGATGATCAATTGATGAATTATTAATAAGGTACGTACGTACGTACGTACGTAGCTGCGTGATAAAGCCCCTAGCTATTACACAAAATTTTTTTCATCCCTTGTAATAACGACCAATCGAATTTCAGGATTAGGTGTAATGTGAAAATCGAGATGAAGCAAAAAAACAATAGGAAAGGTCTAATAAAAAATGCTTCTTGTAAAATTTTACTTGTAGATGTCACATTATCCTAGTCCTAATCCTAACTATAACACAGTTTTCTTAACTTTAATTTTGCATGTAACTTTTTACTTAGAAAACAAAACATGTTTGCTTTGCTATCACGTTATACCTAATTCTGAAATTCATTACAAGGGGTGGAAAAAATTTTGTGGGACAGCTACCTAAAATCTTTACAACACAGTCGCGCCAAAACCAGGAACGTAAATTTGGATTTTAAAAATCTGTGTATTATTTTTATAATAGGGTTAAATCAAAAGATAAGGGAAAATAAGCCAGATTTTTAAATAATAATTTTACTATATTGAAACATGGATTGGAAAACATAAGAGTTTTTGATTTAATTTTGAAATTTCAAATGTAAGAAATTAAATTGCATAGATTTGAGTTTTAGAAAATTGTTATTTTATTGTTTATACAAGATTTATTATATGGATTGTTGATATTACTAAAGTGAGTTATGTACTTTAACACGTACATGCACATGCACCTACTTATAAAATCATAATTTCAAGTTATTGTACAAACTCTTAAGATTATAGATTTTTTTTCTTCTTGTTATTTAATATACTTTATTACATAAGCACAACAATCTCAAATTAAAACTCAGTTAGCCAATAATGACTTGTAAAACATAATCATAATTGTAAGATAACGATATTGGATCATTGATGATAAATATAAAATTAACTACCCCAATACTGCAGTATCACCATAAAATTTTTACTGTTATATGATGATCTTCAGTAGTTTATCCAATAGTGAGCCTCGCTTTGATATAACATTACACAATCAGAAAGATCAAAACAAAATATTCATTTTTTAAAAATCGTTTATTTCTCAAAAATTTGTATAAGAAACCACCATTTGCACTTTAACAAAAAATTTTTTTAGGCAATTTTACTATATACCAGCTAACGTTTAACTCTATAATAAGCACCAACTCTAACTTAAATGAACTTTGACACTGTTATATAACAGTAAAATTTTTATGATGATACTAAGAAAGATTATGAAATTTGTTTTGCAGAAACAAATGGTTGGCTGAAATGAGCCACATAACTAATACAGTCAACTCCCACTATAGTTATATTGTTTAGCAAAAACTTGATGTAACTATAGTAAGAGAAACATAATAATAGTCATATTTTGTGATTATAGTGAAAGTTAATTTTATAATAATTATAAATGATTGGTATATAGCTTTAAAGAATTGACTATTGCGGATGTGACTATTGCAGGTGTTGACTGTATATTTATAAAGATCAAGCATGTGCAGATCATTAACTGTTTAGTATAACATATAAAAAAGAAGGCATCCAATCAAAATTGAGATTTTGTAGCATGCAAAACTTGAATTAAATTATTTACTTGTTCCACTATATTCCTAGTACAATTATCTACTGTTTATAATTGAATGCATTAATACAGTTACACAAGCTCATAGTTTTATAAAAATCAAAAATCTGTTCAAATTAATAGATGCAAAAAGAATTCAATTATTCCTAATATCATAAAAAGAATTCTTTATAAATTATATGCAAATAAATTAACATATGCATAAGAAAAGTATACCAAAAATCAGCAAAATTACCCAAAGTGTAATAAAAGCAATATTAACTGTATTTGAATCTGAACCTATTATACAATATATGATCAATAAACTAAATCTTAAATTTCAAAGATTAAACTCAAAATTATTATTATTAATTCAATTATTTAAAATTAGTTCTGCTTTATCTGGAAATAGTACAACTATTCCAATTATATTCAGAACTCTTTCTGCTAATCCTCTGTATACAAATTTATGTAAACAAAAATTATTGAAAAACTTCAAAAAAATACACAAAGTCAATAAGAAACCAAACTCAAAGCTCTAAGAAAAAAGGAAAAGAACAGCAGAAAGCACCCAGTCTCTTAAAAGACTTAAGTTAGAGGAGCAAAGGCAGCAATAATATAGAAGAAATCATGCGAAACTATTAGTCTTTTTTGGTTTTTTTGCGAATTTTTAGGGAATTGGCCTTGACCCTGTAATGCAGATCTGTTTTGGTAATACAAGAATTACAATACGTAATGAAGAATAAACGAACAAAACATGCTAAAAACCACGTGACAAATATAAACAAAAATGGTAAACAACCTAAACAAACAACAACAATAACAAAAAACAACAACAGAAAAACAACAAGTCACGTGAAG